CGCTTATTTATTTACGCGTAAGGAAAATGTTCAAGTTCAAATAATCGTTTAGGGTATATTGCTTATAAATATCTCATCGGTTAAGTGCGCAAACGCGATCGTACACCGTTTACTTATTTTAGGAGGAAAAAAAGCGATAGGGGTGGGTCTGGAAATATCTATAGGTTTTCCGCGGTTTTATCGGGTTAATTCGAGGAGCGCGCCGGATAATCCGGATGGAAATATCCGTTACGATGGAACGTGGATGGGTCTAGTAGAAAAGAATCCGGTACGACGAACGAGGAGGAATTTCGACTTTCGTACGTGGTGTACGTCGTTTAGTTTCTTTAACGATTTATCGAGGGAGATCGGACGTGGCCGGTGGAAGTAGAGTATACGCAGCATTCGTAATGTTTGCTTAATGTTGCCAAAAAGTTCGTCGACCTACTAACAGGGAGAGAGAAACTGCAGCTGCTTGGATATTTCGCGTTATAAATTCCTCGATGTTTATCGATCGCGAAATGCATTAACGCTGCCCGCTCCTCTTGGTCCGCCGAAGACGATTTCCTGCTCTTTTTCCAACCCCTTTCACAATTTCTTTTCACGCGATCATCGCGAATACTCTTTATCCATCAGCAACTCGGATCTCGTTGATGGTGAATCGGATAACGAGCAGCAGGCCATTTTCGCGTCGAATTCAATTATGCTTAGAAATCTCGCGAAATCTTACACCTAGAAATCTCTACGAGCCTGGCGAATCTTTATTTATTTCTTTATTAGAAATTGCACGAATTTCTTTATTTTTTCCTGTACGTGGACTTTACTTTTTCGTGTCGACTGTTTCGCTGAAATTTCCAGATGCTCTCTGTTTCGTTGTTACGAAAAATATTAATGCGAATACGCCTTGTTGGTCGACATACTGGGTCTCGTTAGTGCATGAGACCATTTTTACGTCGATTTATATTACATTTTATCTGGAAATTTTTTCCCATATATCAAGAGTGATATCTTTCCGTATTCTCGTATCACGGATTCGAAAGTTTCTTCGGTTTCTCATTTCTTCGCGAGAATTTTATTTTTTCTACCTTTTCGTGCCTTCTCCAGTTCCTCTTCGCAATTTCATCCGCCGACATCTTGGGTCTCATTCATAGCGAACTCGATAACGAACAAGGGACAATTTTCATGTCTAATTTAATCACACTTAGAGATCTCGCGAAATCGTACATCTAGAAATCTCTTTTCAGGAATCGTATTCTTTTTCTTATCTTATCAAGAATCCAAAAGATTCCCTTGTTTTTCCGTTCTTCCGTAGGAGAATTTTATTTTCCCTTCTTTCCCTTTATTTCTCGATGATATTTCCACGAGATGGGACAGTGGAAGACCACTTCTTTCAACATCCTAACGTTAAACTTGCCACGACCTATCAAATGACCGATAAATGGGAAATTGAAAGAAGGAAAACTTAGAATAAAATAAACGAAGATATTGGAAAATCGATAATACCTATATCAAAAGAAGACTCGAGAAGTCGTGACCGAATTCTTACTCAAACATCTAATATCGGTTATTTATACCGTGTTAGGTTTAATTCGTTATTAGGTTTAATAACGAATCTGATAACAACCGAAAGATCATTCTCACGGGGAATTCGATTATTCCAAGAAATCCAAGAAAAGATTCTTCCACCATCCCGTCCCGTCGTCCGAGAATTTTTCTTTCGCCTGGTTCCGTCCTCGAGGAAATTTTGAGGAGATGGAACGGTGGTATCGATGGATAATGCTCGATCGGGGAGCGATCGTAACAGTTCCAATTATAGAGATTTACGGACAAACTCGAAGGCGGATTGGCAGCGAAATCGGGTTTAAAGAAGCGTAAAGCAGGAGGCAGCGCGGAACGATCGTTTCCGAGCGATTGCCAGATCCAGCAGGGAGAGAACAGTGCTCGCTTATACGTATAGAGAAGCTCTGATGTTTGCCTCGACGTTGCCAAAAAATACAATGACCCAAATAAGACAAGTTGCACTCGTTCGTCGATACTCCGCACTGCGATCTCTCTCTGGAACTGTTTCGTTCGAGTGCGCAAACAGCGTGCTCGGTAAGTCTGCACGGATACCACGTACCACGTCCTCGAAGAACAAGAGGAATAAATTTTTCGCCCTCCTTGCGATATTTTTCTCTCCTACCTTTCCAACCCTCGCGGTGTTATACATATCGACGATTATGAGAGTGGCCTAAGCGGTATACAGGGTGTCCCAGCAATGGTAGTACAACCGGCAAGAGAGTGGGGATGATTCTACGTGAAAAAGCAAATTAAAAATAGAAAAAAATTTTTCATTCGAAGCTTCGTTATCGAGAAAATCGACTTTGAATATTCACCTAGTGCGCGTGCACTTAAGTTTGGCTTTTAGATGGAAAAATTCATTTCTTTTAGAATTTTTACTTACACCACTTTTACAATTTTATATATACCGTATTTCTGAAGATATTTTCATCTTTTTACCTTTTGATTTAAAGAATTGAATTTTAGAAATAAATTATATCGGCTGTAATGCACCGGGCGGGTTAATTATCCTTTCCCTCCCGTTGCTTGCAAACGCAGAATTTAATATTTAGAGGAAGTACATCGAATAATCCGAGCATAAAGCAACGAAGGTCGCGCGAGAAATTCAGTGACCACGTAATTCGATGGTTTTCAACCTTCTGCTATTTGTCAGTGCGACTGACGTATGTCGTAATGAAAGGACCGATTAATCGTGATATTTATCGCGTGCATTATGCTGGCGCATGTAATTCGTTTTGCTCGAGTCTCGATCACGAGCGTAATATTTTTACGATGCATGCAGATGATGAGAATACTCCTGGAATTCGACGTGGACGATGCGTCGAACCAATACATTGTCATCTTTTAATACACGTAGACTCGGCGTCTTTCAGCATGTACCAGTACTTCATTTTAACACGCTGCATTGCAATGAATCGAATGAGAAATGTTTAATTCGCTATGGATAATTGCTCGACGAGTTTGTTATTATTTTCCTGTAAATAAGACACAGCTGAAATCGACAAAGAGTAATCGCGTAAAGAGACACTTTCGCGCGTTACTCGTGCGTGTACTCGTCGTAGGTCAGGGTATTGGTGAGCAACGAGACGTAAGCTGGTTGGACAAACGAAATAATTGATAGTGCTCTTATAATTGAAAGCCTACTCTACCGCTTCTCTCAACGCTTAAAGAGGAAGTCCCTTGTACGCGGCTGAAAGGCCGGGTTGACTTCCGATTTTTCTACTCTCCTTTTTACGTGTCGAAAGTGGTATATCTGATTTACCACGAACAAGTGACGCATTTAGCTTCTGACTCTTTGGATTCTATCGATCTTATCGGGGCATTTTAACATCGACACCATTCAAATGGTATCACCGAGGAATCTGTGGAATCTCATACTTAATACGATACAGCGGATAGGTTTATCACGGTATGGTGGGAACGAGATATTTCTTCGAAAGAACGGTCTCTTTCGTCCGTTTTACTTGAAAGTTTCTAATTAAACGTTACGGCGTGGAAGTTTCTGACCCGTTTTCGAGGCAAATTCTACATAATGCCGAGCGCGTTAATTGCGCCCAACGCACTCCTAATCGAGTTGTTAAAAACTCGCATAAACGAAGCCACTCGCGAGCAGTATGCGAGTTACTCGAAATACGGGAAGTCGAAGATTCGAAGTTCGTTGCATTCGGAAATTTTCAAATTCGCAGATTTCCGAATCTACTTAAAGAATTGAGCATTTCAAGACTCGAATCTTTCGGGCTTTCAGTTTTAAAAGCTCTAAAAAAAAAAAAAAAAATTTGGAAATTTGCGAATTTGGAAATTTGGAAATTTGGTGTTACGGAGTAATTTGGCGATTTAGGCTTGTCGCACGAGGTTGATAAATGTGTTTGCCACTTACGGGGACAGCATGCCACATTCGGGTTATCGATTTAGAGCAAATTTGGCACATACTTAGGACACACCCTGGACCATGATTTACTAAAACCATAACGTTACTCGAACATTAAACTCGATGTTGCGCGAGGAGTTTGGCTCTAGCCAAGTAGACAAAATTTGAACCAAATCGGTGACCCGATGTCGTGCAGTCCCCTCGTTAGTTAAGTTCTCGACTATACGATGATTCATCTTAACCGTCTTCCTTCAATTGCCTTCACAGACTGCCTCCATATTCTGCTAGCGTTAAACGCAATGCAGCGAAACTCGTTTAAACCGTTCATACTTACATAATAAGTTTATTCGAATAACTCGGTTTCATGGTTCTCATTTCTCTTCAGCAACGGTATATTATTTTTGACATTAAGCTGAGAAAATATTTTGCCATCGCTTTGGGACAAATTTTGCTTTCTTGTCGACTTGTAAACCACTATATCTTCCTCTCTCTCTCTCTCTCTCTCTCTCTCTCTCTCTCTCT